AAATGATTAAAAATAAAAGATAAACCTTTTCCCGTGGTTTTTTATTTATTTATTTTTGTTTAATTTATCATTTTATTATATTTTATAATTATTTTATAATTATCATTTTTTGTTGGATTACCTGTTTTTCCCCCAAAGGCAGTATTTTTTACCCAAAAAATTCTCATTTAATGTATCAACAAACAAAAAACCTTTTATTTTAAAAATTTTTAAATGCTTATCAAAAAGGATTTTATTCATTAATATTAATTTTTATTTTCATCCTTTATCCAAAATTTGGGGGGTTTTATAAAAAGAGGTTAACAGACTGTATATGTTTTAAATTTGAATTTTTTAATGAACTAGGTTTCACTTTGGGGTTGTGTGTGCGTCTTCTTTTTTTTTCTTCCACGATTTTTAAAAGATATAATCATATCCGGGATTTATAAGAACCTGTTTGGGGAAAGGAATTTTGTAAGCAGCTTCTTGTTTTCATGTGTTATATCTAAAACGCCCCAGGCTTGTGATAATGTACGGGGGTGTCCACAGTTTTAAATGCATTGCATTTAAAAAAATAAATCTTAAGAGTCCTTGAAAAATTTATCATTTCATTTTAAAAAATTAAAAAAAGAGCTAGCTTTGAAAAAAAGGAAATGGGGGGGGGAAAAAAAAAAAAAGAAAAAAAAGAAAAAAAAAGAAAAATCATACAATGGGGAATTTGGAATGGAATTACATTGCTATCATGTCTACATGTATGAAAAAAAATAAAATCATATCTGCATTTAATGCATTGAAAAAATTGCTCTCGTTTCTAAATTTTAAAAAACCAAATCTCTCTCTCTTTTTCCCCCCCACAGGAATATAAAATTCAAATACTTTTATTTTGTTGTTGTTCAAGAGGGCATGCTGCATTTAAAAAATTGTTTAACAAAATATAGAATTTGAGATAGAGATACATGTTGAAACTTTTTCCCAAACGCCCGTAACTGAGGATTTTTCTGAAAATTTTGGTAGCCCTGAAAAGGGCTTTTTTTTTTAAATAAGCTTGGATGCAGACTACAGGGATGCTCAGCCCCCCCGGGGGTTTTTGGTTTTCCCTCTTTTCCGGGTTTGGGCCTTCTTGGGTTTTTGGTTTTTGGGGGCGGGGTTCGTTTTTCCCTTGGGAGTTTGGGCCCTTTTTGGGGTTTTGGTGGCCTTGGGGGGGTGTTCCCTTTTCTTGGGAGTTTGGCCTTTTCTCAGGCCCGGGTGTCGGGCCCTTAAAAGCGGTCCCCCCCTTAGGTTTGGCGGGGCCGGGTTTTGGGGCAACCTTTTTGGGTTTTACCTTTTTCTGGCGGGGTTTTTCTGCTTGGGGGGAGCGGCCCGGCCTGTCCCTTCCCCAGACCCCCTTTTTTAAAATTTTTCGGGGCCCTTTTTATGAGGTTACAAATTAGCATCGTTGCCCACTTTGAAGTTGGGCCATGATGTATTTGAGAAGGCCTGCTGGAACCCCCCCGCGTTCCTTCAGGGCTGAAAGGCGGGCTATCTTTCATGTATTGGGGTGTGCAGGGCACTTTAGGCTTTGGGGCCCTTTTTTAGCTGGATTTTTGGCGGAGCAACGGAATCTGCCATGGCTACTTGGGGATAATGGTTTATTTCCCGGGAAAACCTAATAAAATGGCTGGGTTTCCTGGGACCCCCTGCTTTTTTTTTACCCCAGCGCGGCCCCCCGAAAAAAATTTCCAGTTCCCCGGGGTATGTTTCATGTTTTGTGTGTTTCAAAAAGGGGGATTTTGTTTTCCGCGCTGCAACTGGCAGATGGATTTATCGCAAAATATAGGCAGAGTCCAAACCCTCAGCATCTCTTTAACATGTTATCTATTTACATTCTTAAATTCTTTTTTAAATACTGTCCCTCAAATTCGGGAAAAGGGATTCCCTTTTGCCAACTTCGGGCCCGATAAAAAGTTGAAAAATGTGCTTGAAACGACATTATCAATGTCATCTCTCAAGCGAAAAATTTCAAGAGGATAGCTTTAAAAATGCCCTTTGAATCTTCCTAAGTCTTGCAGATATTATCAATTCGCCCTCAAACTGTGACAAATTAAACACAGAAAGTGTGCCAAACGTGAGACAGAGACGCATGGAAATATAATGACATCGAGATTCATTCAAAAGCCTTATTTTTGTCGTGGTTTTTCGTATTCATATTTCAGTGAGAAGGCATACACAACAATATAAAGGAAAGGGACAAATTAACAAAAGGAAAAGACAGGAAAAATAATTAATGAGAATGATTTAACATTTAATAAAGGTCCGACTTTAAAATTGAATTGTCCCAAGCTTAAACGGAAAAGCTGTTCTCCGTGAGCAGATGATATTCTATAACTTACTACATGTATACATGCATGCAAATGTCTTGTTTTGTTGTATATCATTTTATTTAATATAAAATCATTTTGGCCGTAAAAAACACAAAGACAATATATTTAGAAAGCAGCAAAATATACCACACGATTTTTTTTTCTTTTCACCTGGGGTATAACCTGGGGTACACAATTGGGTCCAAATTATAGTGTAGTCAAATAAAAGATTTTTTATCACTTTTATTTATTTTTATAATTATTACTATTATTAAAACAAAATTCACATTGGAGTATATAAATGTGCGTCTCGATTTAGTTTACGGAATATGGACGTCTTTTCTCTATTGTTCAATAATTCTAAGTATTTACATGTTTAAAAGACATGTATTTATATACACAAACGTATACATGTATTAATTTGTATTTAATTGTTTAAAACTCAGAAATTCAAAACATTGATTAATGCTGATGTTAAATATTCAACTTGACCCCATTTTATCTTTCCCTTAGAATTGGCAAAGGGCGTAATAATGATAATTTTAATTATTTAAAAATTCACTGGACAATTTCAATTATTTTTCAAGGGCAACGCATTGATGTAATGATGTAAAATTGATGCAACCACCTGTTAAACTGTGTACTATTAGGATAGGCAACTTCACATAGAATTGTGGTAAATCATCAGAGTTCTTCTCGTTTGTATGTAAGTGTGTTTTCTTAAACAATAGTAGTCCATTCATGAGATCAAACTCATATATAGAATTTTCAATTCCATTATGTGATGGCATGTATTGTGTGTTCACTATTATAATAAAATTATTCAAGTTTCGTTTCTCGGCGTTGATCTAGAGGCATCTTTTCGCAAAAAATTGGGTGGCTGTTTTGGTATATACAAAGTCGTATAGCACTTTTTCACTTGCTGGCTCACTTCTGGGTTCTTCTTGGGGAGCACACCGGCCTGGATGTTGGGCAGGACACCACCCCTGGCTGATGGTCACGCTGGGACAGGGAGTTTCAATTCCTCGTCGTTGTGGATGGCCAGCTGCAGATGGGGGACATTTGGTCCTTTTTGTTGTCGCGGGCGGCGTTGCCTGCCAACTCCAAGCAACTTCGGCTGGCTAAGTATGAACAACGGCCGCCAGATACACAGGGGCGCTGTAACTCCCACTCTCTCGGCGTGAGAGTTGCCCTTCCTCAACACAACGGTGGATACACCCACGGGAACTGCAGCTCCTGTAATGATCGGCTTTGGCCTTTCCCTTCACTTTGCCTCCTTTACCACGTCCTGACACTCATCTGTTTTAGATTTAAGAGCAGTTTAAGCTCAAAATTTCAATCAACTGAAATAACTCAAACTACCTTCGCCACCCATTTAACACGGCAGCTGCATTCCTCAGTGTCCAGCCAATCATCGCGATTGTATTCTTACACACTTCTTGTTGTCTTGCTGAAGAGGACGTTTTCCTCGAGGTCCAAGCACTAGCCAATGTCATCCGCTGTCGTGATATAAGCGGCGAGGGTGAGTATTGAGACTCATAGTTTTCGGTTGATTTATTCTAACCTGTAAACATGCCACCCAAGTTCTTGGATCTAAAGGAGCTAAGAAAGCAAAACCGACCAAGGCCAAGACCCAGAGAACTGGGGATAAAAAAAGCGCAGGAAGAGGAGGGGGATTTCCCAGGGTGCTAAAACAGGTCCACCCAGCTTGACAAAGCCATGAGCATTATGATCACAAGGATCCTTCTAAAACAGGCTCCACGTCTGGCTCACTACAACTGGTGTTACCATCCAGCAGTGGCCACAGTGCTACGTTCACTGCAACTTTTTTGTCAAAGTACACAAGCAGACATCTTTGTAAAGACTGCCTGTATCAGGGCCTCAGAAATTTTTGAAAAGATTCCTCTCTACCATGTGGTTGTAACAGAAATGTATTATATTTTTAATGCTCACTTAATAAATACAAGCGATCTACCATCAGTAAACCCAGCAGAGAAGTGTTTTATTTTTTTAATTAGTATAAGATAAACCTTTACTTGAAATGTATCATTTAAATGAAATTTCTTGCTTTTTTAATTAAAAAACGGCAATGTACACAATAAGTAAGGAATATGTTGCTTCACCTACTTCAGAAGAGAAGGGGATAATACATAAAACATATTTCTAATAGATGTCTTATTTAAAAAACCACCCTAAAATAAGGCTTTAAAAATCCAGTATTTTTGGAAGTTTGAGTGTCAGATTGCTCATCATATTAGATTTTTAAAGCCTTATTTTAGGGTCGTTTTTAATAGACATCTATTACAAATATGTTTTATGTATTATCCCCTCTCTTCTGAAGATAGGTGAAGCAACATATTTCCTTACTTTATTGTGTACATTGCCGTTTTAATTAAAAAAGCAAATTTGCCATTTAAATGAAACATTTCAAGTAAAGGTTGTATCTAATACTAATTAAAAAAATAAAACACTTCTAGATTCCCAATGTTTCTGGGTTTCCTGATAACAGCACAGAATTTGCACTCTTAGAGAAAATAAAATCTATGTATTTATTAAGTCGAGTTTTCATTAAAAATATAATACATTTCTGTAAACAACCATATTGTTTCTCAACACTGTAGAGAAGGAATCTTTTCGAAAAATTTGTGTGGCCCTGATAAGGGCCGTTTTGTTTGAGTGGACTGCAAGTGTGCAGTTTATTTACTGCTTGTGTACTTGGTGACGGCCTTGGTTCCCTCGGATACAGCGTGCTTGGCCAATTCTCCGGGCAGAAGGAGACGGACAGCTGTCTGGACCTCTCTGCTGGTGATGGTAGATCGCTTGTTGTAGTGAGCCAGACGGGAGGCCTCGGCAGCGATTCTTTCAAAGATGTCATTGACGAAAGAGTTCATAATGCTCATGGCCTTGCTGGAAACACCGGTGTCTGGGTGGACCTGTTTTAGCACCTTGTAGATGTAAATGGCGTAGGATTCCCTCCTCTTCCTGCGCTTTTTCTTATCCCCAGTTCTCTGGGTCTTGGCCTTGGTGACTGCTTTCTTAGCTCCTTTAGATCCGACTTTGGGTGGCATGTTTACAGGTTAGAATAAATCAACCGAAAACTATGAGTCTCAATACTCGCCTCGCGGCTTATATATCACGACAGCGGATAACCGTGGCTAAGTGCTTTACGGACCCTCGAGAAAACATCTATTCTTCGGCGAGCGACAAAGTGTGTAAAATACGATTGCGATGATTGGCTGGACAGTTCAATCCGCCTGCGTGTTTAAATAGGGTGGCGAAGGGTGTTTAGAGTTATTCGTTGATCTGAAATCTTGAGCTTGAACTACTCTTAATATTAAAACAGATCAAAGATGTCAGGACGTGGTAAAGGAGGCAAAGTGAAGGGAAAGGCCAAGAGCCGATCATCCCGTGCGGGACTGCAGTTTCCCGTGGGTCGTATCCACCGTCTGTTGAGGAAGGGCAACTACGCCGAGAGAGTGGGAGCCGGCGCCCCTGTGTATCTGGCCGCCGTTCTTGAATACTTGGCCGCCGAAGTCTTGGAGTTGGCAGGCAACGCCGCCCGCGACAACAAAAAGACCAGAATCATCCCCCGTCATCTGCAGCTGGCCATCCGCAACGACGAGGAATTGAACAAACTCCTGTCCGGCGTGACCATCGCCCAGGGTGGTGTCCTGCCCAACATCCAGGCCGTGCTGCTCCCCAAGAAGACCCAGAAGTCAGCCAGCAAGGCCGTTTTCACGGCCACCCAAATTTTTCGAAAAGATGCCTCTAATACAAGTCAAGAAACGAAACTTGAATAATTTTATTATAATAGTAAACACACAATACATGCCTCACATAATGGAATTAAAATTCTATATATGAGTTTAATCTCATGAATCACTATATTCCTAAGAAAATACACTTTACATACAAACGAGAAGAACTTCTGATAATTGCCCACAATTCTATGAAGTTCCCTATCCTAATAAGTACACAGTTTAACAGGTGTACTTCAATTTTACATCATTACATCAATCTTGCCCCGATAAATGTTACCCTTGAAAAATAATTAAAATTATCAAGTGTAATTTCTAAGGGAATAATTGGGCAAATTTGATGTAATGATGTAAAATTGAAGTTCACCGGCCAACTGTGTACTTAAGAATAGGGAACTTCATAGAATTGTGGGCAATTGCCGAAGTTCTCTCGTTTGTATGTAAAGTGTATTTTCTTAAACAATAGTAGTCCATTCGGATTAAACTCATATATACCATTTTAATTCCATTATGTGATGGCATGTATTGTGTGGCCTTTACTATTATAATAAAATTATTCAAGTTTCGTTTTCTTGACATCTTTGATCTTGAGGCATCTTTTCGAAAAATTTGGGTGGCCGTGAAAACGGCAAAATTTCATACAAGTCGTACGCAGACTTTTTTACTTAAACACCCTTCTGGGTCTTCTTGGGGAGCAGCAGGCGGATATTGGCAGGACGTCCAGCCCTGGGCGATGGTCACGCCGGACAGGATTTACACACTTCGTTGCGGATGGCCAGCTGCGATGACGGGGGATGATTCTGGTCTTTTTGTTGTCGAGGGCAACTTTCGGCGGCCGAGTATTCAAAGCAGCCTTACACAAGTTCGGCTCCGCTCTCTCACGGTTATCCGCTGTCAGTGGATACGACCCACGGGAAACTGAATAAGATAATCGGCTCTTCGGCCTTTTCCCTTCACTTTGCCTCCTTTACCACGTCCTGACATCTAAAGGAGCTATTAAGAGTAGTCACCAATTTCAGACCCATAACTCTAAGAAAAAGCGCCTATTTAAACACGCAGGGAAATGAACTGTCCAGCCATTTACATCTACAAGGTGCTAAAGATAGATGCCACCCAGACACCGGTTATCCGCTGTCGTGAGCAAGGCCATGAGCGAGTATTGAGACTCATAGTTTTCTCTTTCTGTAAACATGACATCTTTGAAAGACCCAGAGAACTGGGGATAAGAAAAAGCGCGGGAAGAGGAGGAAAATGCTGCGCCATTTACCCGTCAAGGTGGTTTAAAACAGTGGCCAGACACCGGTGTTTCCAGCAAGGCCATGAACTATGAATCACCATGACATCTTTGAAAGAATCGCTGCCGAGGCCTCCGTCTGGCTCCCTACAAGCAATCTCCGTCACCACAGAGAGGTCCACAGCACTCCTTCTGCCGGAAAAATCGCCAAGCACGGTGTATCCGAGGGAACCAAGGCCGTCCAAGTAAGCAGTAAATAAACTGCACACTTGCAGTCCACTCAAACAAAACGGCCCTTATCGGCCGCGCAAATTTTTCGAAAAATTCCTTCTCTACAGTGTTGCAACGATATAACAGAAATGTATTATATTTTTAATGAAAACTGGACTTAATAAATACATAGATTTTATTTTCTCTAAGTAGTGTATATATTATCAGTAAACCCAGAAACATTGGAAATATAGAAGTGTTTTATTTTTTTAATTAGTATTAGATACAACCTTTACTTGAAATGTATCAATTTTAAATGGCAAATTTGCTTAATTAAAACGGCAATGTACACAATAAAGTAAGGAAATATGTTTGCTTCAGCCTATCTTCAGAAGAGAGGGGATAATACATAACACATATTTGTACTAGATGTCTATTAAAAACGGCCATAAAATAAGGCTTTAAAAATCTCATATGATGAGCAATCTGACGCTCAAACTTCCAAAAATACTGGATTACGAACATTTTTTTTGCTTACCTTATTACTGAACATACATTAAGTATTACACGAAAAGTTTCCATAATTTTTTTTTTTTTTTTTTTTTTTTTTTTTTGCTCTGTGATAACTCTTTGAAAGCTAGCGGAGTTGAAATATTAATATGCATGCAAATCTCGTGCGCATCTGCACATCTCTTGTTTGACGCTACAGGAGAGAAAATGTACATGTGCATACAGCGGCGCTGCCTGTGTGTTTGACGGCAGTGGGCGAAGGACTATTAAAACTGGCATGGGAGTCCCTGGTGTAATTTGAATCTATGTTTACATTTTTAAGATCTAAATCTACCATTTCATTTCAGAACGAAATGCAAATGTAAGGAATCACTGTCTACATCGAGAATAATATGTTAGGGACATCAACCAAAGTGGTAAAACATGGGATAATTTATGCAAAACTTGACAGTGATTTCTTAAAAAATCGATAATTCTTAACCTATATTTGTGTTTTGTTTTTGAATGAATGAAAGGTTGTTGATGCAATTTTGCATTCAGTTCGCTCACCCCGTGCAATATTATAATTGTAAAAAAAAATTTTTTTTTTTAATTATTTATTTCGTTTTTTCTTTTGAGAGCATTTTTTAAAAATATTGGTGGGCCTGAAAACGGTTTTTGGGGTGCTCTCAAGGGGGGAAAACCCCCCAACCGCAAGCTTTTTTCCCCGGGGGAAAAAAGCCAGGGGGGAGGTCCCGGCATTTTGGGGAAAACCCCACCAAAGACCCCGGGGGAAAAAGGCAAGGGTCCTTAAAAAAGACCAGAAAAGGACCCACCCTCAAGAGGGGGGGGGTTTTCCCGGTGGGCCCAAAACCCCTAAAACCCCCCCCAACCCCCCCCCAGACCCCCTTTTTTCCTCGAGATTCTGCTGAAAAGGTGAAAAAAAAGGGTTTTAGGAAAAATAAAAAGAATGAAAATTGGGGGGAAAAATTTTTACGTCCCAACATTTATGTAAATTTTTGGTTTCTTAAAACCAAGTTTTTAATTTTATTTTATTTAAGAAGAAGTTTTTAAAATTTTTTTTTTTTTTTTTTTTTTTTTTTTTTATTTTTTTTTTTTATTTATTTTTTTTTTTTTTTTTTTTTTTTTTTTTTTTTTTTTTTTTTTTTTTTTTTTTTTTTTTTTTTTTTTTTTTTTTTTTCTATTTTTTTTAAACAAAAAAAAACAATTTTAAATTTTAATTCCCCCCTTTTAGAAATTAAAAGAAATTTTTAAAAAATAAAAATTGTAAAAAAAAGAAGATTAAAAAATTAAAATTTTTTAAACCCAGATTCTTATAAAATTTTTAATGCGAAAATTAAAATTATATCATAGAATATAAATGTATTAAAACCCCGGGGTTCTATTTTCTTCCCCCCCCTTTAAAAAAATTTTTAAAAAAAACTTTTTTCTTCTTTATAATTTTTAAAAAAAGAAAAATTGCCCCTTTTTTTAAAAAACATTAAATTCAATGATTTCCTTTTAAAAATTTTTTTCTTTTTGTTTTTGGTTCCCCCCCCTAAAACCCAAAAAAAAAGTTTCCTTTTAAAAGTTAAATAAACCCATTCCCCAAAAGGGTTTTGGGGGAAAAAAGCAAAACACAAAGTTTTTCTTTTTCAATTTTTCCATCATTTTGGGTTTCCCTAAAAAACTTTTTATTTGGAAAAAAAAAAGAATTATTTTTTTTAATTTTTTTTTAAGTTATTAAAAAAAAAATTTTTTTGTTTTTTTTTAAAAAAATTTTGGGAAAATTTTTTGTCTTTAACTTAAAAAAAAACCCTTTTAAAAATTTTTAAAAAAATTTTAAAAAATCTTAAAATTTTTATAAGAAAATTATAAGGGAAATTATTTTTAAATTAAAATCATTTTTTAAAAATTAATTTTTTTTGAATTTTCCATTAAGTAAAAAAAAATTTGTATAAACTATTAAAACCCCCAAAACCTAATTTTAAAAATTTTCCCGAAAACAATTTTGATTTGCCCCTTTAAAAAAAAAGGGGGGGATTAAAAAATCTACTAAAATTTTTTTTTGGGGTCATGAAGTGATTTTAATAATTAAGTGTAAAAAATATGTTTTTGGGTTATGAATGAAGGACCCCAAATTTTGGGGCCGAAAAAGCGTTTTTTTGGAGCCCGGGTGCCCGCCCCGGGGGTTAGAACAAGCCGGGCAGATGGCCCCTCTTTGGATGGAAGCACAAAGGGTTCCTCGAAATCCACAAGGGCCCTTCCTGAAGGGGCCCAAAGGGGGAAAAAAGGTTTTTTTTCCCCCCCCCCCGCCAATGGGGTTTTCCTTGGGATCGGGCTCTTTTTTCCTCCTGCCAGGGGACCCCAAGCCCGGCCTGTTCTGTTGGGGTTTCCCCACCCGGTCCCCTTTTTGGGGCCCAAAAAAGGTTTTCGGGGCCCCCCAAAAAATTTTTTTTTCCCCCCTTTTTTTTTTTAATATTTTTTCCCCGAGGTAAATTTTAACGCTTAAAATGGGGTAAATTTTTTTAAAACCCCTTGTAAAATTTTTTTGTTTCCCGGTTTTTGGGGTTGTTTCTAAAACTTTAATTGGGTTTTTTTGGAAAAAATTTATAATTTTAAGAAAAATTTTTTTTTTAAAAATGGATTATCATTAATTTTTTTAATTGGAAAAATTCATAAAATAAATGATTTCAAAGTTGAAAAAAAAGTTATTTCTGGTTTTTATTTAATTTTTTTTTTTAAACATTTTAAATTTTAAAATTTTTTAATTTTTTTTTTTGTTTTATTTGCTTTTTCCCCCCAAAAGGTTTTTTTTTAAAAATGCCCTTTAATTTCCAAAAACCAAACCTTTTTTTAAAAATTAACAAAAAAGATTTTATTCTTAATAAAATTTTTAATTTTTTCCTTTTAAAAATTTTTTAAAAAAAAAAAACGTTAAGATAATTGAATATTTTTTGCTGTTTTTTGGTTGTTGGGGCTTTTTTCCCCTTTTTTTCCCCGCTTTAAAATTAACATTTAAAATGAACCTTTTTAGGGGGGAATTGGGGGGACAACCCTTTTTTAAAAAATTTCAGAAAGGTTTATTGATTCCTACTAGTGTCCAAAA